CAAGAAGATCTAACCGCGAAAGGGTGCAACGCGCTCTCGAACAAGAGAAGCGACGCGGTATCTTCCGTGCGCACTTCACGAAGCGATGCTGCCCTCCGCGCTGCCGTCGCGCTTGTTCAAGTCCATCAACTCATGGAAAGGCCGTCGCAGCGAATACGAGTCGGTGCATACGCTCGATGAACTGCCGGTTGCCGAGGCACCGACGCAGGTGCTCACGTGCCACCTGGCTCCACGCCCCGCGCCGAGCCCGCGCACCGAGGCGTCGTCACCGGTGCGTATGCCGCCTTTTGCACCATACATGACGCGTCATCAACGAGATAGATGTCGTACGATGTCTTGCTCCACAAGGACGAGCACGGGCTCGGCTTGTGCCTCGCGGTCGACGACGCCCATCGACTCGTCGTCGCGTCGTTTCGGCGACTGCACGCCAACGACGTCGGGCCCGCCGAGGCGTGCAACCAGATCCACCAAGGCGATTTCCTCTGCGAAATCAACGGCGACGAAGTGTTTACACTGCCCCACGTCCACCGGCTATTGGTCGCGCTGCGGTCCGAGGCCTTTGTGCTCTTGCGCTTCCGGCGCGGCTCGCCCATGACGCCGCTCCTCGTTGGTGCCAACAGTGCGGCCGAAACGACGTCCCCGCGGGCCGTGCCGACGCAACGCGAGCGCCAGCTCTCCCACCTCGTGCACGATCTCGCGCTCAAGAACCAACTCCTCCATAGCCAGCTCGCGGAAATCCACGGACAACTCTTGCAAAAGAACCGGGAGCTTGAAAGCACCGAGCAGCAGCTCCAGGAAGCCAAGGTCGAAGCAACGCGAAGCAGCCGTCTCTGGCCGGCTAAAGGCAGCGGGCAGAACGCCAAGCTCGAGTTGGACACGCTTTTAACCGAGTGCAAATCCCAGCTCAAGCGAGAGTGCGAAGAACAGATGCAGCTTGAGCGCGCTCAGCTGCGCGCGACCCATCGGCGCGAGCTGGAGCGTCACGAAGCCGCGAGCACGAAGAAGCTCCGGATGCTCGAAGAGGCCCTTGGATTTTTGATTGACCAGGTGGACGCGCGCCCCCTGGACGAAATGCCGCCGGTTTCGGACGAGGCGGTCAAGCTCCAAGACATTCGCGGGATCCTTGCAAGCTACGCGGCACGGCGACGCCAGATCGACCGCCTCGTGCAGGAGACAGCACCTTCCGTCACGAGTGCGTGATAATTTGATCGACCAACATGACAACGATTCAGTGGATTATGGGTCGAACACCCTCAAGGCCCTAGCTACGAATGAGTGCAACATACTTATATCTACGGTGCCATCAACAGCCCACATCGTCTATTGGCATGGAAATGTGGACAAGTCGTCGATGACGGTTGGTTGCTCTATCGCCAACTGATGGCAGATCTGGCATCTCGGCCAACAACGAGTGAGATGATCGCTGCACCTCTTTCGACGCTGCGGAGAAATCGGCGTTGGTTCGCTTTCGGTTTCCCGCCACTCGCTCGTGTCAACCACAACACCGGAGAACAGGCGCATTTTTCCCAAGAACGTTGATTCGAAGCCGCGAAGCGTCGCCCGCGGCCACCAAGGTTGCTGCTGCATTCGAACGTGAGCTGCGGTACGACCCGTGAGCTTTTCTTTTGATCACTGTTTGTCAACGCGGGACGACGCAGTGCAATTACCGGCTTGTGATCATGCTGGTCGTCCACAGACTAATCATAGGACCTTCGTGCGAGCCATTCACGACGGGCGAAACAGGATCATCATTCGCCCTCACCTCGATCCTCAGTCGACAAACGCGAGTTTGAAATGTGGGAAATAGCATGCGATTATCGCGGATAAATACGACGTCAATGCCAACAGCTTGCTTACGAGAGGAGGAGGCCTTCCAACGCATGGACGACGTCGTCACTGGTCATGCGCTGGCTGGGCGCCACAAGAAGCATCTTGAGCAGCACATCGCTGATCGCAGGCGTCATGAATCCCTTCTTTTGGCAAATACGCAATACGGGCTGCAACCCTTGGCGGTGCACAGCCCGGAAGAGCTTGTCGGATCTGGCCGCCACCGAGAAGAGGGGCACGCCGGTTAACATAATGAAGAGCACGATGC